TGGGGCGCCCCTCAGCCTGAGTGCGGCATGGTGCGGCCTGCCTATCTGCACCTGAGCGACGCGAGTGGGGCGCCCCTCAGCCTGAGTGCGGCATGGTGTGGCCTGCCTATCACCACCGAGCCAGTAGCTGCTTCGGGGTGAGCTGCTCCCCCATCCCAGACTTTTGGAACTTTTGGGGGACCATTGTAGGGGGTATGGGGATGGGAGGGGCTGAAATGTAACCTCTTTGTGTGGTCTGCAGTCACTGTGTACTGTCTGCTGAGTATTGCTAGCTGTGTGACTCTTGTTATGCATGCATTTCCAGTCCACTGTACTGACACAAGTCTCACAGTGCTTCTGGTATCTGTATAGACTGTAGTATTTATGAAACTGGAATCTCTGGAAAAACAGCATATTACTAGGTTTGCCTGCAGTACACTGGTCGTTTTGTAATTATTTTGATGTTCTGTAAATACCATGTCAGACAGTATTGAGGAATTTTACTTTTATTTGTGAAAATGTATGTATTCTCTCACTTGTTTTTTATACTGTTTGTATAAGCTACTGATAGAGTAGCTGTGAGACCATCATTTTTTGAATATTTCAATGAACTGAAAGTGCTGTACTTTTATGAGAGAAATTAGAGGAAAATGCCAGGGATTTCCTGGTTTGTATATTGTGAAATGGTATCAATGTGTATACAGCTGGAAGGACAGCTACTGTACTGTTAACTCAAGTGCCACTCTTTTGAAATAAGCGTCTTTTTGGAAATCTGTTCATTGGCTTATTCCCTATTCTTGTGACATTGATGTCGAGTGTTTGTATTGAGAGCTGTCTCCTCCTTTGGGATGATCTGTGATCGATGGTACTTTGTCTACCTTATACACTCTCTATGGTTTACTGTAATAGAGCTTCTTTGTAATAATTGCCCTTTTCTCCTTGTCTTTTCTGTGTAGTCTTGTGGTATAAAGGTGTAGCCAGGTTATAAAGGTGTAGCCAGGTTAATATTTCCTGACAATTCACAGGTCTGTGTGCATGAGTGAAGGTGTCTTGTCAAAGGGGACAGACCTTAACATTTCACACTCATCATTAACATTTCTTTCTTTGGGTTAATGCTCTTGTGCACACTGACTTATCTCCCTGTCCGTTTGCACACCTGTCATTCTTGTTACTGCTTGACCTTTAACAGTCGATGGCAAGGTCAGTTACTATGGTGATCTATAGCTCCTCTTTGTGACAGTTTAACAGGGGTGTGCTGAGAGTGTGTACTGGCTTTGTGATGCTCTGCTGCCCACCCTGATGATTCTCATCAGTAACAACCTCCTTTATGTTGTAGGCAAAAGCACGCAGCTCTGTGCCCGACCAGAATATTAAGGCTGATCAGGGCTCTCTACATGTTCATCCAGAATGCAATTTCTGTTCCTAATGAGCTTTTCAATTCTGCTACACACTGAACATGACATTTGACTCTTCAGTTTGAGTCACTCCCTATAAATTCCAGCAGTTCACCAAAGTCAGTCTACTTTGGTGCTCTCTCACATAGACAGTATGTTGTATTTGGTGAAAAGAAAAAGTGAAGCAGGCAGAATCATTCTGTTCAGAGCTGTTCCTGTAATGTTAAGCTCATTCCCATCTGCGTAAACTGCACATCTGGAAAACTGACAACATACCCAGTAATATACAGCTTCTTAGCATTGTCCCCTTTACTTTCAGGACTTCACAGCTTTTCTCTTCAGCATTACCAAGCTGAACAGCTGTTTGTCTCTGTGGGGCCTGAGCGTGTGAAGCAGGGCAGCCGGGGCACGCCAATCCCTGCCCAGGAGGGGTGGGGGAGATGTCAAAGGAGAAAAAAGAGGAGTACTGCTACAGAGCTGAGAGAGCCAGTGAGGGGGCACTTCTACGGCTGTAATTCCATCTCTCCTTCACACAATACTCTGTCACGCTGGGGCTTGGGGGCAATCGCACTATGCTGTGCAGCTCTGTCACGCTGGAGTGTGGGGGCAATCGCACTATGCCGTGCCACTCTCTCACGCTGGGGCTTGGGGGCAATCACACTATGCCGTGCAGCTCTCTCACGCTGGGGCTTGGGGGCAATCGCACTATGCTGTGCAGCTCTGTCACGCTGGAGTGTGGGGGCAATCGCACTATGCCGTGCCACTCTCTCACGCTGGGGCTTGGGGGCAATCGCACTATGCTGTGCAGCTCTGTCACGCTGGAGTGTGGGGGCAATCGCGCTATGCCGTGCAGCTCTGTCACACTGAGGCGTGGGGGCAATCGCACTATGCCGTGCAGCTCTGTCACACTGAGGCGTGGGGGTGATCACACAATGCCTTGCGGCAGCTCTGTCACACTGGGGTGTGGGGGCAACCACACGATGCTGCACAGCTGTGTCACACCAAGGCGTGGGAGCGATCACACAAAGCCTCGCAGTGGCTCTGTCCTGCCAGGGCGGGTGGGAGATCACACAATGTTGTACGGTGGCTCTGTTGCGCCGGGGCATAGGGGCAATCACAATACGGCATGTGGTGGCTTCGTCCTGCTGGGGCGTTGGAGCGATCACACTACGCCATGCGGTGGCTCTGTCACGCAGCAACATAGATAGATAGATAGATACTTTATTCATCCAGAAGGAAATTTAGGGGGGCGATCATACAATGTAATGCAGTGGCTCTGTCGCGCCGGGGCGTGGGAGAGATCACACGGCGCTGCATGGTGGCTCTGTCGCGCCGGGGCGTGGGAGAGATCACACGGCGCTGCATGGTGGCTCTGTCGCGCCGGGGCGTGGGAGAGATCACACGGCGCTGCATGGTGGCTCTGTCGCGCCTGGGCGTGGGAGAGATCATGCGACACTGCATGGTGAATCTGTCATGCTGGTGCATAGGGGCTATCATGGGAGCATGGAAGAGATCACATGACACTGCATAGTATGTGCCACTCCGGGGCGTGGGGGTGATTCAAAGCCCCTCCAAGCTCTAGCACATGTGCAGTGTAAATGACCCCCTGTGCTCTTTGAACAGCTGCCCATGTAACATCCCATTATTTAAGAGCGTAGAGATATCATGAAGATGTGTGAGAAAGACACTCCTTTATCAGTGTATTGTGATATAAATTCTTTCTTGAACTGACACAAAGGATGACTAGCTACTTTGTTAGGTTTCATCAGCCAACAGTCAGTCCTAGTGTCTTATACTGAGAACTATGGGAATCTGAGAATTGATACTTTGGAGTCAAATTAAAGGTGACTGTAAAACATATTACTGTAGCTGCATGTTTTTGCCAGAGTATGAATGCATGCTAGTTTAACAGAAACCACTGAATCACTCTTTAATTAACAGTGTTAATGTGTTTCTTGATCAAATCTCATCCTATTGCCCATAAGAAAAGGTTCGGGAGTGCAAGTAGGGTGAGTTACTAGTTTAAAGTGTAATTAATATATTGGCTTATTCTTGCGTTATTTCAAACCCCGGCGTATCAATATTAGATGTTTGTGCCACCTAGTGGCCGGAATATGAAATGTCAGGGAGGAGCTCTGAATGATCACTCTACGCCGTCATTTTTGGTTTATTTTGAAATTTAACAGTAGTGAGTGTACAGGGGCACCCTGCTAGTAACTTGTAAAACTACAATACAGAATATATCTTTATTCTTACTGTGCAAGTACAATCATCTTGTAGAAGCCTCAATAAAAACTATTTAATTTTTATTTATTAAATTAGAAAATTTAAGAAATCTAAGTTACGCCGATGATAACCGTAGATAATGTATGATTTACCAATTCATTAATAATCGAGCCATTATACTCTTTTCCCAGATGCCCAAATTCCATCAGCAGCACAAAGTCAAGGTACTGCATCCGAAAAAAACAACATAGATAGATAGTTTTTCCTATAATGGATAAACTTATAAAGGGTTGAAAAACTGTAATATATGCTTGTTTAAACATATAGTGGATACGATGAAACGTACGAACCCTACCACACCCTTCACACATACACTCCCCCATAAAGGCCGCGCGTTGCTTTTATCTTCGCGATTGCACGCACTGGACTCCAATTGGTCAACGCAAGAACGGTGAACGCGGGGTCCAATCGAAATCGCGCGTCCGCAATCCATAAAGACGTTAGGTGCGCGCAGAGCTTTGCGTGCGCCAGAGCGAGCACGCGCTGACGTCACGAGGGCTGGGGCGAGCCGCTTGTGCCGGAAGGGAAAGATGGCGGATCCTGAGGAGCATATATCCGACGAAGAGAAGGTAGGACGCGGGCTATTATTTTACCGCACCGCGACGTTGACGGCGAAGAAAGCGTGTTCAGGGCAGTAGTTGTCGTGTGGAGTTTTGCGTGCTGAATCCACCGGGAAGGGTTCTGAAGAAAGCAGACGGCTGAGCTTGTTGGTATTTTTAGCTCCGCAGTCTCTGCCCAACTTCCGTCTGTCAGCTAGGGCTCCGTCCGACTGTCTTACACAACCCTAACCCGGCTCAGCATGTTTCGCTCGGCTCAGCATGTTTCGCTCGGCTCTGCTGTGTTTCGCTCGGCTCTGCTGTGTTTCGCTCGGCTCTGCTGTGTTTCGCTCGGCTCTGCTGTGTTTCGCTCTTTCCGGTTCGGCAAGGCCCGGCCCGGCCCGGTTTCGCCCCGCTTGGCTTCTCTCTATCCATGTACGGCCTTATGGCAGAAATAGGAGCCGTGTCGAGGTGACAGGCATCGCCCCCTTCCGGCTGGGGGATTCGGGGGCACCAGGTCTGCAGAGGGGTTTAGAGCGGCCCGGGGAGCCGCGTCACCCTGGGGTTGTGCAGACTTCTTTCCAGTTTTGTGACACCGCCCATCGGCAGGGCTGATGCCCTCTCTTCCGGGTGTTAATTCCGAGGACCGAGCTGTCCTGCATTCCTGTAATTTCTCTGAAACCCTTCGTGTAGCTGAGGATCAACGCCTTTCCTGTCCCTGTGCAGCACTACAAACCGGACTTTCTGTCAGGCTACGGGTTGCTTCCTGGCTGCAGGCTCAGCTCCCACACACTGACAGTGACTGGCAGTCTAAAAGGAGCAGTGACCAATCAGGGAGCATCGTTAAACAGCATTTAATGCTGCAAAACACAATGAGTATATTTGAAAATGTCTAATGGATTATGTTATTGGTCAGATGCTTCCTTGTCATTCAGATCTTGTGGCAAACCTGTGTTAATGGTGCTTGTTCTCTTGTATGGAAAATACTTTTGCATATTAAAAACATGTGCTAGTAATACGCACATGAACTTGCATGACTAAATTAGGCTACATAAGGCACGGCTCTGTCATTGGATCTAATCTCTTATGTTGACTTGGCTTCCTTTTCACTTTGGTATTTCAGGTGTATCATGCTCCATAAATGAGTGGAATTTCTGCAGTGTCATGTGTCCTTCATAAGTGGCCATGCTATTTGACTTAAATCATGTCAGATGTGTTTCTGACGCAAACTAGAAGAATGGACTGTTAGCCTGGCATTTATCTGACTTAAGTTATTCACGGGGGAGTCCTTGTCTCAAGCCGAAACACTTGCATTTAAGTTCATTGTGTGTATAAGGGCTTCATGCCCAAATGAATCAAAGCAACTTCCCAAGCCAAGCAAGCACCAAGCCTTTGGCCAGTCTCATCTCAAGACAGCCGCCGGTGTGTTATGCTGACCCAGTTCTCGCTGAAGCACCTGACAAGCAAAGCAAACGCTGTACTAGGTGTGGTGTAATTCTGGACGTACATGCTGCTGTGCAGCAAGTGTATAAACCTGCAGCTGGATGGCTGTGCATGATGATGCTTCTTAGCTGCTGGTTGCATGCTGCAGAATATCCCGAGGCCTTGTGATGACACTTAATTGGTCTGCACTCTTGTGGGATACGTTTTAACTTGAAGATCTGGTAAAGAACCAGTTAGTGTTTTGTTACAGTGAGTGAGGTGGTATGTCAGCTGGAAGGCACATTAATTGGGGATTTAACTGTATTTAAAATTTACTGTATTTGACTCTCCCTGCCGGCCCCTGGAGGATGGGCTCCCCCTTTGAGTCTGGTCCCTCCCAAGGTTTCTTCCTTCTAGGGATTTTTTCCTTGCCACTGTCACCCATGTCTTACTCACTGGGGGCTTTGGGTGGGGATGCTGTATAGCGCTTTGAGACGATGTAATGTTGTGATAATGCGCTATACAAAAATTAATTTGTTGTTGTTGTTGTTGTTTAACGTAACTTAAGTGGAACCACAGCCTGGCTCTCTGATGGCAGGAATATGTTTTGTAATCCCGCTGTGATGACCTGATCAGAGATCAGTGGGGCTGTTCTTCTAGCACCGTGTTTCTCCTTCCTGGAAGGGGATCCCGAAAGTGTCCTGAGCTGAATAAGCGTTATTCCCTGAAATATACAAAATCTGTTTGAGTGAGGCGAGTCAGTTGTTGCAAATCGTCATATTTTGATGTGGCAGTTTTTTCATTGCCACAAGTTAATCAATTTTTAAATATTTTAAATTTAGGTTGCTGTAATTACATATAGCATGCTTGCTACTTCTAGGGATGCACCAGTATCTGCACCAGTCCGATACCATGCTCGTGTACTTATACCCTATCACCAGGGATTGACAAAACTGGTACGCAAGTACACATTCACCTTTAAAAGTGATACGTGCAGAAATCGATTGTTTTAACAGTGTGAATGTGTACGTATTTTATGCGCATTTGCGCCGATATGACAAGAAATTACTTAACCTCTATACCGCAAATGAAGTACGAATTAGCATATAAAGGTTACAATGCACAATAATTTGTCACATTGGCGCAAATGCACATAATCGTGCATTGTAACCTATCACTTTTAAAGGTGAATGTGTACTTGCATACAAGTTATGTCAATCCCTGCCTATAACTGATACCACATATTGACAAATCAGCAATGTCATTAATGGTGTAACGATTCTCCAAATTCACGGTTCGGTTCAGACCTTGATTTTTGAGCCGTGGTTCGGATAATACTTCATATAAATTACACACAACTTGGAACCCTAAACAGAAGAAAACTAAACAATATGTTAGATTAACTTCATGTAAAATAACTATGTAAACAAAAATAAAGTAAAATACTATACTCTACTGGATAATCGAAGTATTCTGACAACACTGACTGGAATGTGCCCAGGTGATCTGCGGTCTCAGGGTTATCCATCTTGATCGAATGAAACTAGCCTAGCTCTTACCACAGATGTGATCGCTTAGTCTTGATTGGACCAAAATAGTCTTGTGACTCACAGTTATGATGATAAAATGGGTGCAATTAGGGCTGTCATAATCATGAAATTTTATTTCATTTCTGTTCATTTTTAGCCTTTATACCATGAAAGAAGTACAAATTTGCCACATAAAGGTTAACATGCATGGTAAATTCTTGTCATAACTGTGCGAATGCACATAAAATACACATTTGCACTGCTATGACCAGAAACTGGCAGGTGCATTGCTTCATACTTGCGTACAAGTTACGTGCATCTATTTATATCACTCCAAATCTGTAGGATCAGAAAGAAATGGAGAAAACATACATTTCTCTAGTTCTTTGTCCTGTTGGCGTAATATACTGACTTTGCTGCAGCATAATAGTGGCAGCCGTCATGGACGTATATGGTGATCCCACCGTAATGAGACCCATAAACACACACAGACAGATGTGAAAGTCTTATGCAGAGCTTTTATTAAATAGAGAGAGAACACAAAATCAGAATATCTGGCTAAGTATCCCATTTTGGGCTGGTCTGGGCAGATCGCTCACAAGTAGCCCGTAAAATTAACCTGATGTAGCAAAAAGAAATACTGACGAGATCATGTTGCATCGTGAAAATGTTGTGAAAACAAAGTGGCACAAATCAAGCACAGACCTGCGAGATACAAAAAGGGCAGGTGGTACAGATCAGTTCAGAAGCAGAATGAGATGATATCATTAAATGAGTGCCAGTCAAACATTACATGGTAGAAAATGATGTGGAAATAGTCATCAAAATATGACAGTTCAGTCTCATCCACCTGATTTTATACAGGTGAATGCAGATGTCTTGTATTTAAGCAAAATAATATTGGTCAGCTCAAATAATCAGGCGATTTATGTAATAATAGTTTCAGGCCAAGGTGTGATGTATAAAATGTACATAATTTATAGCTTTCCCTAACTTTAAATAGAATAATAATTTAGTTATTTATAGTGTTTATTGTGAAATGAATTTTGAAACATTAGTAATGTAACTGAGAGCTCAGCAGGCTGCATCTTGGGCAGCAGGTTGGGGTTGTGGAAATCGTGGTTCCATGTTATATGTTTTAGGCATTGCACGGCTGTAATCGGTATCCGTGCAAACCAGAAAGCAAGCATCAGTACTCACACTCGGTCTGAAAAAATGGTATAGGTGCATCTCTAGTTACTTCTGTTATCCTGTATTAGCCCACTTGCTAATGGCCCATTTTTGTTAAGTGCCTGATGTGTGAGTCCAGTACGGTGCTATCCTGAATGAGCAAGTGTGTACAGACTCTATCAAACAAATACTGATATACTATCGATCCATGAGGTCTCCCACCCACGCTATTCAATTATTATTTTTTTCCTTTCTGGAACAGAAGCAGCTATGAGGTATTAATAAACACGCTCTGTAATGTTTCCCTGTGCCACCACAGTCAGTGTGATACAGCAGACATCTGCGTTGTACCTGGGCAGAGGGTCAGATGTCATCTACTAGCGTAACAAGTTCTTTGTATAGGTCATTACTGTAAATCAGCCCTTAGACACATGGAGGTGGGAAGTGCTCCAGAGACGCGTCAATTAGCGCCACGTTGTCTGTGGCCATGCGGTGCTTTTCGCGTACCTGCCTGCCACGTGCTTGTGGTGTCGCATTCCTGGGAACATCTTCATGACCATTTATGGTGCTGAACTCCTGCGATGGCAAACCGGCAGCTGTGATGTTGGTTTCACTTCTGGCTGCAGTAGCAGGAAGTCTCACAGCATGCTGGGCTTGTTGAGCTGTAGCAGGGAAAGTCTTCCTCGTTGTCAGCCGCCCTTCCTGGCCGTGCCTCGCACTCTCTTTTGCTCAGAAACTAACCCCCTCCCCCATCTCGCTGCAGGTGCGCATAGCTGCAAACTTCGTCATCCACGCCCCTCCGGGAGAATTCAATGAAGTTTTCAATGGTGAGTTTCAGACACGATAAGCATGAAACCATAGTAATACCAAAGCATAGGTCATGGGAGAGCAGGCTCTGCCCTGTCTGCAGCCAGCAGTCCTGGGGGGGAGGGTTCTCTGTAACCCCTGGGGTGCCTACGGGGGAGCTCCCCCGAGTGTGTGCTGACCGAAGCCAAACCCAGGTTCATTTGGCTGAAGCTAAGCCAGCCAGCTACTCAGTAAGTGCTGATGCTGGTTCTTTCTCAAAGGCGACAGGGTTGACAGAACCTCGAATGTTTCAAAAACCACTTTGTTTGGTTGTGCATTGTGTACTACTACAGTTTAGGGAAAATGCTGTAGTTTTTTTTCTTTGTTTTAGTTCCAGTGAGAGAGGGAATAAGAGACCCAGTTTGTCTCCTCACAACTACTATAAGGAAGTCTGATTATTAAGCTGGCACTTGTTCTTACAAAATGTATAAAACTGGGAGAATGACAGCATCCCATGAAAATGAATGTTAACTGGTGTCTTTGCTCTTCTTTTGGTAATTTGTCCTGTCCTAATAGCAGGAATGCTTGCTGTGGTTTTTAAAGGGTGTTTTCTTCCCTAAGTATTCGTGTCTTGGTCACTGAAGCCCAGAGGGAGGGTTTAGTGTGGGTTCCTGGATTTATCTTTTCGTGGGAAGTGCCGTCCCCATCACCCTGCCCCCTGGAGAGCGTCCTCACACTGAAGCACTGTCCTGCCGTCCTCTCGCTGGCTTCTTACAGCCCCGGGTCCCGCATGCGTGCCGGCCAGCGCCGAGCTGCTTGACCTGTTATGAATTGGATTTTCTGTCTTGCAGATGTGCGACTGCTGCTTAATAATGACAATCTGCTCAGGGAAGGCGCAGCACAGTACGTCTTACTTTACTCTGGAGTTTTTCCTTGAATATCGGCTGTGCAGATCATAAAGTGCCCTTTATTCACAACGGCACTCGTTGTCTTTTGCATTTCAGTGCATTTGCACAGTATAACCTGGATCAGTTTACGCCGGTGAAAATCGAAGGCTTTGATGAGCAGGTGAGGCATGAAAATGCACCTTTAATTACTTTCATAAATGGTGAAGAACAGATCAGATTAGACTTGGATCACAATAATTTTGTTGCTTGCAGAAGTTTAGGGGTGGTCTTCAGTTGGCTAATAAGTAATGGGCAGGCAACAGTTAGAAGGTTGAGAGGATACCTTCGGGAGGACGCTGAGATCTCTGAGCTTACTGCATGTAATGTGTTGCTGTTTCTTTGGTCGTCATCTTCTCCCTCAGGTCTTAATCACAGAGCATGGTGACCTGGGCAACGGCCGCGTTCTGGACCCCAAGAACAAGATCTCCTTCAAGTTTGACCACCTGAGGAAAGAGGCAAGTGACCCGCGACCCCATGACGCAGACAGCGGCATGGAAAGCTGGAGGAGCGCCGTGGACACTGCCGTTCGAGCGTACGTCAAGGAGCACTATCCCTACGGCGTCTGCGCGGTAAGTATCACACGTTACCCCGGGCGGCGACATTTACTCTCTACTTTTGGTCGCCTGTCCATAGATTGAAGTTGAATTTTTAAATGTTTTATAGATTTATGGGAAGACTATCGATGGACATCAAACCATCATCGTGTGCATAGAGTGCCATCAGTTTCAACCAAAAAACTTCTGGTATGTGACTTTCTTACTCCCTCACTCTATATGGATGCCTGAGTAGGTGGCCATAATCCAGCCTGATTGTCTTTGATGTTGACAGATTGCGTAAGGTGACCCAGAATCATGCATCTCACTATCGGGTAATACTTCTGACCATCACCTGATTTTGTCCATGAACTGTGCCTCTATTCATGTGTAGGAATGGACGCTGGAGGTCAGAATGGAAGTTCACTATCACCCCATCCTCTACTCAAGTTGTGGGGATCATGAAGATCCAGGTACTGGCATGTAGTGTCAATTGGGGTGGAGACTCGAGCTTCCTGGCTCTGATGAAATGTTGAACATTTTTCATGTGTAGAAAGTCTTTGACTGTAGGTGGGATGCAGTGTTAGCAGAGAATGGTGTTCGGGGGGGGGATGGATGGTTCACTGGATGAGGTGATTTGGAAAAAGTAGGATGAGCAGCTGTCTGTGGTCTGCAGGTTCACTACTATGAAGATGGCAATGTGCAGTTGGTGAGCCACAAGGAAGTTCAGGAGGCCATGAATCTTTCGGTGAGTGGGTCTTAAGCCATAATCCTTCCTTAAAGGGATTCTCTCCTATTTTCAAATTTTATGTTATGTTATATGTTCCAAAGAACATAGTGAAATTATTATGCCATAGTTGCAGGGTGGGACATAGGACCGACTACGGTGAAATATAAGATGAGACGGTGCAGGACAAATTAGGGTGCAGTATAAGAATGAGACCTATATGATTACCTAACTCTAGGATATTGTCCAGCTTAGTTCATTGGCAGGTTTTTCAGTTTTGGATCAGTGCTTCAGACCAGACTGGGTCACTTCCTCTTAAACCCACTTCTAGGTACCAACAACAAACTGGGCTCTTTAGTACTCATTTTACTCCCAAGTAACCTCATGAGGAGGGTTTGGGGAGCATTGTGCGTTACCCCAGTACACAGACTGTCTGGGCCTTCAGGAAGATGGACAATGTCACTGGGCTGTAGCCCTCGCATGTGAAGTTTGCATTGGCAGCTGAATGTCTCTTGGTGGAACGTTGTGGTTGATGGTTATTAGTATTCATTTTTATTAGTCTCTGTAACTCGTACAATGACACTGGCACAATATGTTATATACACAGAAAAACATGAATCTGTCTTGGTTAACAGCACTCAGACTGAAGTTTGTGCTGTTCATATGTAGAATGAGGCTCAGACTGCAAAGGAATTCATCAAGATCATGGAAGCAGCAGAGAATGACTACCAGGTACGATTGTAACAACCTGCAGTTGTGTTGGTATTATTATGGATACACTGCTGTTCTGGGTGTTCCTGTCAATGCTGAAGGTTGCTAAGGCCTTGTCCTGGTTTGCTTCAGACTGCCATTAACGAGAATTACCAGACCATGTCGGACACAACCTTCAAAGCCCTGCGCCGGCAGCTTCCTGTGACGCGCACCAAGATCGACTGGAACAAGATTCTGAGCTACAAGATCGGCAAAGAGATGCAGAATGCTTAGGAGCAGCGTTGCTCTGTGACATCCATCAATAAAAGCTGTGGTCTCACACAAAACAATTATTACACAACAAAAGCTACTTTCTTTTATGAAATGAATTTGCCGCTCCTCCAGTCACATCATATTGCACAGGAAATAATGCTTTTTTTTTTTCTTTTTGTGTGTTCATTCGGGAAACTTTATGTGCATCATACCTTGAGGCATAAGTCCTGTGGGGGTGAGACCACACCTTTTATTAATCAATCATGAGAACTTCTAAGCCCAGAGAAATAAAGATTATTTTAACAAATTTGCGTCTTGTGTAGTGTAGGGTTAAGGCGACGTGCGTACCCTGCCACTCCTCTCTCCGCACCTGCACACTCGCACCCTTCCTGTTCCTCTGCCCTGTGGCATTAGTGAAGCGCACCCGTGACCTCCCAGTCCTGGCACAGCACAGGTTGGCACTGTGACGTGGCACATGATCATGCTAGCAACCTTGGGGAATAAACGTCAGGGCCAAGCTTGGTAATTAAACAAATAAATGGTCAATAAAAGCCAGAGCTTTTCGATGTGCAGATGTTCAACAATTTAAAGCAAGAGTTGTATTACAGAACCATAAGTTTTTGTTTTTGAAACCAACATTACTGTATTAAAAAGGCACACTGTAATATATGACATGTATGAAAGTTCTCTGACGCTTTGGTTTCCTCCAACTTGAACTGTAATACAATCGCAGTTACGTTGCATTAAATGACAGATTTTCTATTTGGGTTGTAAATGACTATATTTCTAAAGGTGTGTCTGTTCAATGCTTCAAACCCTTGCTTCATGGTGTCTGCAGAATCATCAAAAAGATCAGGCTGACAGTGCTGTATAATCCAAACCCGGGAGTGTGACTGCAGGATTGTACTTCTGGAAGCCCTGGAAGTTTAGGGCTGATGGCCTTTTGAGTCTAGCCTGAATCCGGGTCCTGAAATCTGTTGACTGCATTTTGACACCTTTGCATTAGTATATTGTTGTGGTTAATCATATCATAGATCCACATCGGGTGAGTTGGCTTTGTTTTTTTTTTTTTAATGCTTAACGAAAGGAAAATTTAATTTGCGTTTTCTCATGGTATCTTCCACCTGTTTGCTCTGTATGTTCTTTTGTCAGTTGGCTTTGTTCCGTATCTCTCCGCTGTCATCCTTGACTGTATTGTTCTCGAGTTGATCTGAGGCTGGACATGATTCCTGTTCAGATTCCGGATTTGTCACGATTCCGTCTCGGATCTGTTTGTTCCAGGCACCGTTTGTGCTTTTTTTATTTCCAGTGAATCTCAGTGATTTACTCAAATGAATAATGTAGCTGTTCTCCAAAAATGTGACCCAGTCATGCTTAGGCCTGTCAAAACCCATCATGGCTTTATAGAGCTGCCCTAGAGAATGTGTGTATGTGTAGCCTCAATGCCCTGGAGTCCTGCCCGAGGCTGGAAAGTCTCATTATGCTCTGGTGTTTCTAGTAAGCTTTGCCGTGACATTGCTATCACTAAAAGATGAGGATTCTGCTGAGATTGTCATTGAAATGTTAGTATGCAGGTAACCACAGTCGCTTCATCAGAAGCTGACGACAGGCTAAGGGTGGTGAGTTGGCGTGGCATCATTGGACCGGGACTGAGCGGCACCAGCCACACGCAGTGAAGCGACCTGTGAAGGGCCACAGTAACAGGCCCTGTCCGTGTCCTGTGAAGTCGGCAGTCCTGCCACCCGGATCTCTGGCTCCCAGGACAGCGTGTGGACTTCACTCTTTGCTTTGTAGAGCTCTGGAGAACCTTCTGATCTGTAGGAACCCCGATACCCTGAGGTGGAGACGAAACGGAAGGCTGGCCACGTGCGATGGAGGTACCCAGGGGCAATACGGGTGCCAATGCAGTCAGCACACCCTGGAGTGGGATTGGGCCCAGTTTAGCTTGTGCTTTTAGGGTGGAGCAGAGTGGGGCCCCAATTTGGCTGCTGTAGGCAAAGGTAACTTGAGCCTTAAGGGCCGTCAGCAGAGACAAGCCCAGCAGGAAGCTGGCAGAACTCCAGAACGTCCAGAGCAGGGGTGACAAACCTGATCTATGGAGAGCCGCTCCGAGTGCGGGTTTTTGGGGTGACCTCTTAATCAGCCAATAACAGTGGGTCCCCATGGCTGGAGTTGAGTACTGCTGATTGAGAAGTCATCCCAAAAACCCTCACCCACCGCAGTTCTCCATGGATCAGGTTCGCCACCTGTGGTCCAGAGCAATGCTGGGTTTAATGACCTACAAATGAAATTACCACAGTTCCCTGGGCTACATATCACACTTCATGTTCTGACCACCACGCGGCACATGTTGATGACCCTTCATTCTGGAACTGAACACCACGTGGCACATATTGATGAAAGTGTGTCGTGCTCAGCATGTGGGTTGGGCGGGGGGCCGGGTGACCACACACCACTGCCCCTGTTTTCACTCCTCTCTGATGTAAGCGTTTGCCTAGGAGCTCACCAGCGGCCGTGCCTTCTCTATGCCACTGCTATCCACTGCAGTGCTGCATGGGGCCCAAAAGGCAGCAGGCTGTGTCTGCTTGTCATGCAGATGCCCATCAGGTCAGTTCTGACTCTATAAATGGAAACTTTCCAGTTCAGGAAAGCATGTTGCAGCTCAGATGACTGACACTAGAGATGTTTCCACTTAAGATTGTCTTCTGCCAGTATTTAAGACCCTGTGTCAGCCTTGCAGCCAGATGGCGCTGTCCAAATTCTTGCAGCTCAATATCAGGGTTTGGCCTTTCCTAAAGCCTGTTGTTTGGACAGATGGCCTGTAGAGTTGTGTGGCTGATGTTCCAGCCTGGGGCAGCTCCCGTGTACTGGGGACGGTCCACTGCGGGTTAGTACCTTACTCAGAGCATCCCCGGGTTATCGGTCCACATCCCTAACAGCTGCATCACCTTCTTTTCCTGTCTAGTAGCTTATATATCCATATTGTAAGCAGCATTTGTCTGCTTCTGTTGTGTGGAATGCTCTACAGCCCAACTGTGGGTCTTCATAGCAGGGTACTTCACACCTCCTGGAGAGGCACATAGAAAATGTTGAGTCATGAAGATGAAGATGAGGATGACAAATGATAAAATAATAACAGTTTATAAATAAAAGTTTAGTGGAACTGTATCTTTGACCTTAAGTGTTGCAGGTGCCTGAAATTGCAAGTTGTTAAATCTGGGTGCCAATGATAATCGGGCTGGAGAATCTGCACCAGAATCTGTCCAGAATTCTAAATGATTACAGCTGGTCTGTATACGCTCTGAAGATCCGGTGCTCATTCACCTGACCATATACGTATGATCAGTCACTTACCAGATGCACAGCTGATGCACTAAGAATCCGAGGGGCGGTCGCCTCATATAGCAAGATGAATCTGAACCGGATCTGGGCCAAAGGTTGTTCATAAATCGCCCCAGATCCATAACTTGGATCTGGCCTGGCCTAGATCTGCACCAGAATCAAAGGTTAAATTCTGAGGTGGTGTGGATGGAGGCAGTGAGTGGCTTGGTGGGCTCCAGGGGGTACTGTGGGTTGTGAGATTAAGTATAAGAGGCAATATTCCAATGTAGTTGTGCTCCAGCATCCTGACCTAGGATGCTGGAGCATAACACTTTAAGTACAGCTGTTCTGGAAAACCTCCTTTATTTACTCCCTTACTCATCTACTGCTCCATAGCTAGCAGGTCAGCCACCACCCCCAGAGCCAGGGGTTAAAGGCCTTGCTCAATGGCCCACAGTAACCATGCCACCAGGGCCGGGGTTCAAACCGGCAACCTCCTGGTCACGAGCACAGACTTATCCCACTGAGCCACTCACCAGCCATACATGTTACAGCAGGATCCTGGCGTAGAAATAGTCGGCAGGCAGTCTGGAAAAAATGTGTGAGCCACATTTAAAAAACAAACACTGACCCCATCTTACTCGCCATAGCTTGCAGGTGACCAGCCAACATACACCAGCCACTGCAAGGCTTGAACCAGCAACCTTCTGACTACTGGCAGAGTCTTAGCCCACTGAGTCACTCACCAGTCACACATGTTACAGCAGGATCTTGGAGCAGAAATGGTGAGTCAGGCTGGGAAAATGAGTCTGAGCCACATTTAACAAAGAAACATTTAACAAAGACCAGCTGTAATTAGAACTCTGGACAGATTCTGGTGCAAACTCTCCCGTCCGAACTCAGATTTAAAGAGACGCAGCTGGATCTGGCCCAGAATCAGTTGCTATGTGGGGATTACATGTTTTTTTTTTCTGAGCTGTGCTGATGATAGTGTGTCAGCTAGAGGGACTGAGCACCCCCTTGTGGTTGCACATGTGTTCATTCAGCTGTTTATTAGAATGGAAACTTTTTAGTCTGTATGGTTTTCAACTGTTTCTAAATTCCATAGAGTGATTGGTGCTGCCACATTTCAGTAATGCTTTGTATATGTTTTCTGTAAGACGATTTCTGTCTCTGCAGACAAATGTGCAGAGATATTCCACAAAGCAGAGACAGGACTGTGTCAGTGACTGCCATCTTTTATATGCACACCTCTTTAATACACAATCTGCTGTGTAAGTGTTGTGTTTAACATGCACTCTGCTGTGTAAGTGTTGTGTTTAACATACACAACTCCTCCTTACGCCCCCATCATGGAGACGACTCCTCTATACCCGCATCATGGAGACGACCCCTCCATGCCCCCCCCATGTTTTGTCAGAGGGCATAATGGGAAATGGGGGCCCAGGCTGTGCAATGCCTGCTTGGCTTTGTTTTTTCCCCTTGGGGGGTCAGACCAAGGTTATTTTCGTAAACGAAAACTGAAACTAAGACGAAAACTATTGGTTAAAAAACATTTTCGTAAACTGAAATAAAATTAAAAATTCATAATAACTGAAAAACTAAAACTAAACTAAAATTCATAGCAAATTTGAAAACGATATTAAAATAAAAACGAATTTAAAAATGCAAAACTACAATAACCTTGGGTCAGACTGGGATAAAATAATAGGTAACTTTGAAAATTGATGCCTGTGTATGTATCTGTTTGTTTCGTGCACTTGCAGTGATAGTGAAGCGCAGCTGTAGATTACGTGATGTGACCTCCAAGGGGAATCAGCTGTTCCCACAGCACTGACAGTGTCCTCTGATTCATCTTCTCGTTCATTTCACAAAACATTTAAAGCATGTAGTGCTTCAGCAATAGGCTAAAGTGTATATATACAGAACAGAGGCTGAATCAGGAGGCTCTGGTGTACATGGTGTTTAAGCATTATAAATCACAATGTAAACAGTACTAACAGATACTTTGTCAAAAGGTCTGGACCCTACATCACAGTAGAAACAGTAGAAACATCTCATATATCTGAGGTGAGATCAGACTCGGGTTCAGGTACATCTAGGGTTCTGTTAAACAAGAGTAACCAAGAAATATGTTCTGAACCACAGTGTGGGGAAATTCATTTTCTCATTGTCTTTGGTGGGATGGAGTCCCTGTGGCGACCAAGGTGCTGGGGCTCAGAGGTCATACATGGGGCCCTCTTGGAACTTGCAGGTGTGCACATCCACCAGCTCTTGACAGTCCTTGCAGTGCACGGTGCAGCACCAGTGAAACGTGCACTCACACTGGGACGTGCGGCTGACCCGGGCTGTGTTGTAGCCCCGCCCACAGCACATGACCTCACAGCCGTCGGTGCCCTTCGACGTCCTATTGCAGGCACGCCCTCCAGTGCCCATGGATCCTGAGGGACAAGGACAGAGTCACATCCCCTGAGATCCTTTGCTCCACCAGCCTCGACATTCACATGTGTTTTCATTTCATCATTGTTTAGGAAGAGGTGCCCCTACAGGGTGGATATCACCCTGCATATCTATGGTGTCCTAAGTACATGTAGGGGCATTGCAGGCCTCTCCCATTCTGACAGCTGATATCACATGCTAGAGTGAGCATCCTGGGGTTTCCAGACCGATTTCATGCATGGATGTGAGGAGCACTTCCCCAGAGAGAGCTTCCTGCTTTAATCAGAGGCACACTGACGGGAGATAGGGCCCACTACTGGCTGCTCCTTAAGGTTTACGGCGGAGCAGTGCGATTTACTGATTCCCACTGCCCCCTCGCACACATCATGGAGTTTAGTTGATTATCAGCACTAACAGCCTATATTACGCTGTCATTTAGCCAATCTGCCTGTAAATCGATACCCTGCCACATTTGCGGTTACTGTCTGACATGGCGAATGTGAAATCCCAAGAAGGGGGGAGGTACTTCTCCCCCTTTAATCACTATATTGATATTGGTTGGGAGCTACTTTACCATTATGGAAGATTGAGTGGGAAAGAAAATTTATCTTGTGTTGTTTTTACCTGATACGTTAATGGGTTTTGGCTGTGAAAGGGGGTCACACACCAGGAGAAACTCACGTCCCACAACAAACTAGCTTGAGTTAGACAGTCATATAAACAGGCTGCTCTTATGTTGTTGAGTGAAGCACTGGAGATTAAACTGCTAAACATACAACAAAGAAGCAGGAATGTGTAAATCATGCTGGCAGTGGATTGCTATCTGTATTGTAATAATACTCCATTTGCTTGAGCAGCTTGACCATAATATTTTACTATTAGCATATGGAAAAAATGTCACTACAACACTAAATGCAGAAAATTAGCCATGATAATTGAAATGTATGGATACAAATATCTCATTTAATGTTTAGTGGATGATAAAGGGTAAAAAATATCAGATTGGTATCAGTATCGGCAGATGCTCAAAATCTTTATATCAGTATTAGGATCGGAGCAGAAAAAATGGCACTGTGCCGTTTGTAATTTAAAGGCTGTTTAGAAACAACAGGAAGCTGCATTTTTGCGGTTGTTCCTGAAATCAATGGGGTTAAATTCTGTCCTCGCTGGAGGTGCAATGGGCTCAATCTTCTGAAAGGGACTCATTTTCAGACATGATCTTCTTATAGAAATATTCCTGCCTCCAGACTGACTGTGAAGAAGTTCCAGAAGCCCCCAGGTGTTGGGGTGGGGGTGATTTACAGCAGCCTGTAAGGGATTGGGTTACAGCCCCCTGATTTGCTCGTGTCCTGAAGCTGCAGGGTGTGTAATGTGTCTTAAACATGTAGTCAACTGATACCTCTGAGTGTCCCCAGCTGCTTGACATGTATCATTCTGCTGGCCCACGCTTACTCAACAGAATTCGGGGGGGGTGGGCATTCATCCCAGTTTAGGATTGTTTATGGTTATATGGGTAACATTTTAGTTATTGAGTTATATGTGAGGTTTTTTCATTCCCCAGTAACTTTCACAGAATGGCATTGTTTGATGATAATCACTTTGTTTCTAAAGTCAGTTTATGGCTAACCCTAACCCTAACCCTAACCCTAAAGTCAGTTTATGGCTAACCCTAACCCTAACCCTAACCCTAACCATAACCCCTGCCTTTAGTATCGTATGTTCAGCTCACGGCACCCAGATTCAGGCTCAGATGTACAGTCTCTTCCATACTCACCGGATTCAGGCTCCCGGATGCAGTAGTCTGGAGACGTCTCCATGTACACCAGCTCGTTCTTGGTGAGGTTTCCGAAGCTCTCGTGGGCACGGGTGAACCTGGTGCCATACTGGTTCATCACCACCTGGATGGCTCCGTCATACTTCCTGTGCAGGTAATCCCCAGTCCGCCGGAAGTCCCTGAGCGCCATCCAGCATGTCCGGACTGCACAGGACCCGCTGACACCGTGGCACTTACATTCCTGGCTCATGGAGCACCTTACCGCCTGTCAACATAAGGAGCGCAAAGGGATTAAGATGAGGAAGCAAAAGGGGAGAAAGGGGAGACTAGAAGGGGAGGTGAAGGGGATGAGGTGGGAAGAAGAAGGGGAGGTGAAGGGGATGAGGTGGGAAGAAGAAGGGGAGGTGAAGGGGATGAGGTGGGAAGAAGAAGGGGAGGTGAAGGGGATGAGATGGGAACAAGAAGGGGAAGCGAAGGGGATGAGATGGGAACAAGAAGGGTAAGTGAAGGGAATGAGATGGGAACAAGAAGGGGAAGCGAAGGGAGCAAAAAGAGGACGAGAAGGGGGTGTGAAGGGAACAAGAAGGGGCAGCAAAGGGGTCGAAAATTGGACATTTTTTCCCCCCAGCCCATTCTCTGTAAACCCCAGAGATGGCTGTGCATGAAAATCCAGTAGATCGGCTCGTCTGACACCAACAACCATGCCACATTGAAAGTCACTTAAATCACCTTTCTTCCCCATTCTGGTGATTGAACATTAACTGAAGCTCCTGATCTTTATCTGCATGATTTAATACACTGTACTGCTGACATATGATTAGCTGATTAGATATTTGTTTCAACAAGCAGTTGAACAGGTGTACCTAATAAAGTGGCCAGTGTGTATGTTTACATTGCACTGTATTTGGGTATTTATTTTATAACTGTACCCATATTTATTGTCTTACTTACGTAGCTACATTTTGATGTGTGTTTAGTGTTTAATGGTGCCAGGAGGACACACACAGCCAGGTTTCCACTTCAGAGTGTAACTGACGGCTTACTGCGGCCATGACCATAAACCCCTGGAACTCAAAAGCCTCTCAACTCGACCAATGTGGACCTTCAACAGGTTGGTTGAGAAAAACTTGACCGAAAACTCAGAATACAACAAAACAAAACGGCTGGTAAAACATGTACGGATGGAGACGCGTCTCCCCTTCCGAACGATAAGCCTCCATCCCCACCTACCACTGCCAGTATGCCATCAGCTCACCTCAATACAGGTAAAGTGATGATAAATGGTCATTTATTTCATACTTATTGCTTTTGTATGAGTGTTTTTTCTTGTGTGCAGTAAAATAAATAGCAATCATTTGGGGGTCTGGAATAGATTAAATTCATGTACATTATTTCTTATAGGGAAAATTGACTTGACCTCAACCAAATCGCAACTCAATTAGCCTTCTGGAACAAATTAAGTTTGTGTTTCAAGGTAACATTGTATCTTGAATGCCTGTCAGATTCCCAGACTGGTCATGGACTGATCCAATCTCACCCTGCAGATGGCCACAAGTGTATTTCAGCCGGACTGTAAGTGACATATTCCCACGTGTGGGTGGTTCCGGTACCTTCCGTCCGACCCGGTTGTTGTGCAAGTTCATCAGCGCCCTGGCATCCCGCTGCTTCCCCTCCTGAGCGTCGATGAAGGCCCGGGCGAAGCTGACAGCGAAGTTGATGTTGTCACTGCAGCCACCCCAGCTGAAGGACCCTTGGCTGTCCGAGGAGATACCCGTCTTATGCGGGTCACAGGAGCAGGTGTCCAGCTCCCCCTGACTGCAGGCCCTGGCGAGCGTGTGCACCATCCCCGCAGAGGAGACGGCATATATAAAGGCCACCTCACGCGTGTCTGCGGGCCCGAGAACCCCCCCCCCACATCAGTGTCTTGGCCCCTCCTCTGCTGTTTTTTCGCAGTTTATCACACAGCCTGTTGTTGTGGTTCTGCCGCTTTACAATGTCCTTTAAATAGCATGATCAAACAGATGGGTCGATTTCAATCACTCATCTTAAAGCTCTTTGCTGCCAGTTCATGGTACTTCATTTTCAAGCAGATAAATGAATCAAATGCTCAGTACCTGCAATGGCAGATTCCTGGCTGCTCTGCTGATGAAACAGATATGCTTACCTGATCAAAGGCTTTTCTGCAAGTGTGCGTGTGTGTCAGTGTGTGTGCATGCGGGTGTGTGCATACAACAGGATTCTCAAAAGATCAAAGCTCAGACACAGTCTTTTCTTAATTATACCACAAAATCCTCCCGTTCCATAGAAATTAGCCTTCCATGGTATGTCAGTGCAGTCCAGCTAATTTAATGCTTAGTGCAACGCGATGGGAATCACGGCGCCACTCTGGGAGGTCCAAGGTCCAAATGCTGAGAAACCAGACTAAATGCTAATTAAACATGTTCATTCATACATTTCAATAATTTTAAAATAGGCTAAGAGTCAATTCCGCTTTGAATTCATTTTTTGTGGGGCTATCTGTGCTTTGTACACATGAGTAATCATTTGGTTGATGAGGCAGAATGAGAGTCCGGGCTTCCCTGGCACCTCCAGAGCCCTGACGTGACAGGGCGGCAGGCTCACCGCGGGGCGGCAGGCTCACCGCGGGGCGGCAGGCTCACCGCGGGGCGGCAGGCTCACCGAGGGGCGGCAGGCTCACCGAGGGGCGGCAGGCTCACCGAGGGGCGGCAGGCTCACCGCGGGGCGGCAGACTCACCGCGGGGCAGCAGGCGCCGGTAGCTGCCTTGCTCCCGGGCCACGGCGCTGCAGTCCCAGCGTTGATGCCGGAACTGCTCTTTACACTCGTCCATCCAGTCCTTAATGCCGGCTCCGATGACCAGCATCACTGAGGGATGCTGACGGCACAGCTGCCGCTGACGGGGTGCCAACCTCGGGATGTTATCACACATGACCTGCGAGCCCAGGGAGTGCATGTACCTGCCCGGGGGGGTGGAAGCATGCCGGCCAGTCCGAGTGTTAAAATGTTTTACAATTAAGTTTTAATTAATTTCAATAAAATAAATGTTTTAAAAAGCATTTTAAAATACTTGCACTCATATTCATTGCTTGTCTTAGACCTATGGGTTTAGTGCTGTATGCAGTGTTTATATGTTTAAATGTAGGGGAGACCGCAGATGATTGTAACATGGGTTAGTTGTAACAGTCGATTTCTCAAATCAGGAGCGAGGTACAAATCACACTCTGCACACGCTCAGTTTAGTCTTTATTTCACATGTGACGAAGGAGGACCCTGTAACAGACACACTCAGATTTGTAAGGAAAAGGGAATTTTGAGGCAAAAGTATTTTTGACTTTTAAATTAATTTTTATTTGAATTTATTTTTGTGATAGCACTGCAAGCTTTGTACTTAAATTATTTAAACAAATAATTTTTAGCACATGACTTATACAAGTGCTAATGTAGCTTCTTCATGGCTGCCAAAGTCTGGGATTGTTGTAATGGCATTTCTCCAACTGCCCATCCGGCCGCTCCTCAAGCCCAGGAAATGTCTGCATTGTGTCTGTGAAGATTCTCAGTTATACAGGTCATGGTTCTCCCAAGAAAAGTTATTCAGGGCAACTGGACTTTAGTTCTTTGAAAATGTTTCACCCTTCAATCCAGAGGGCTTTCTCAATTCTGACTGACCGGTTAGAGTAGCAGAGCTCTGAGCTCGTTCTCAGGGATCATACCCAGCCACTGGTTCGGGTATGTGGATGATACCTGGGTCAAAATAAAAACACGAGGTGGAGAATTTCACCATACACATCAACACTGTGGGCATTAACATCAAATTCACTCAAGAAGATGTCAAAGGCAATAGCTTGGCCATCTTGGACTGTGCGGTACACATGGAGGAGGACAGGACCCTCAACACTGAAGTGTACAGGAAACCCACACATACTGACCAGTATTTGCTGTTTGACTCTCACCACCCGCTGGAACACAAACTGGGAGTAATCAGAACCCTACACTATCGGGCAAAACATATTCCCACTAAAACAGAGGGAAAGGAGAAGGAACACAAACATATGAAGGAGTCCCTCTAAACATGTGGATATCCTAACTGGGCTTTCTTGAAATCTATGAGAAGAGGGAATAAGAGCAATGCTACAATTGACAGGGAAGTGAACAAACGTAAGAGCGTTATCATCCCTTATGTTGCAGGGGTGGCTGAAAAGCTCAGGAGGATTTTCAACAAACATGGCATCCCTGTACATTTCAAACCAGGCAACACTCTGAGACAGAAACTGGTCCACCCTAAAGACAAAACACCCAGACACACACAGAGCACAGTATATGCAGTTCAGTGCAGTGAAGAATGGTTTCTCCTATGTACAGATCTGTACAAACAGCAGCTCCATAAATGCATGGCACAACACAGAAGAGCCAGCTCATCAGGACAAGACTCAGCAGTTCACCCACATCTGAAAGACAATGGACGCTCCATTGAAGACCAGGACGTTTAGATTCTTGACCGGCAGGCTGACTGGTTCAAACGAGGTGTGAGAGAAGCAATTTACTGCAAGATTAACCGACCCTCGTCAAACAGAGGAGGCGGCCATAGGCGTAATTTATCACCCACTTACAATGCTGTTCTTTCAACTCCACCCAGACGGTCACACAGTCGTTCACACCTTGGCCCAGGTGGTCACAGTGACATACATGAAAGCCAGGGGACACAACAATCCACAGGTGACCATCGAGTATTAACGACTTGAGGGCTCCGCAGGATTTATAATCCTGCTACTCTAACCAGTCAGTCAGAATTGAGAAAGCCCTCTGGATTGAAGGGTGAAACGTTTTC